GGCCTCAAACTGGGCAATGTTTTGGAAGCTTTCGTCTGTGAAATGTCGCGCACACAGTAACGTTCTTCGAACCTCTGAAGGAACAGTGTTAAAAAGAAATTTCAACCACTGACTTCGTCGTGGTTCTTCCGTCGGTAGGACAAACAGCTCAGATTTCTCCTCACATTTCAGGAAACAGGTCCTTGGCATTGGCATGACTGGATCGATTGTGAACTGAACCAGAGCTTCCAACAGTAAATGTTAGGCTGGCAGAGGGTGCGGCCAGCGCCGCTGGGTGTGGCCATAGCTCTTCGGGATTGGTCCATTTCGTTCCGGGTACCGCATGACATCATGCCGTACCCGGAACTAAATGGAAGACTCAAATGGGCAGTGACGTATCTCCAACGAGGCGTTTTGGGGAGGTATTTTCTGTGTTAGAGTTTTACTTGCTACAGGGTGTACTTTGAGGGTTTTGACTCTGCACACCGTTTACATGCATAAAAACCTTCATAACACACAAGGGGACGGGTAATAACCGGAAAAGCATGACATGGGCCCTTTAACTAACCCTAACAAACGAGATCTCACTAAGCGGTCCTACGACGCTGGTTATCAACTCGGTAAATCAAGCCAGGGTTTCTCTGTCCAGCTGAGAGCGCGTTCATGTGAAAGGGGCGGTGTAGGAGCCACATTTGAAGTAGTAGTTTCTGTGTTTATTACGGTACATGTTTTTGAGTCACTATAGGTGGTGGGCGTGTCAAAGGATTGGTGTGGTGACGTTTGCGGTTATATCCGGTTGCTTTTACCTCCACACTTTGTGATAGATGGAGGGGGAGTGAGCTGGAGAAGGACCATTTTTGTTGACCGCACGCACGCACGCATGCACACATGCACGCATAAAAGAATATATGGATATGGACTATTGAACTTTTGCTTGAAAAAATAAAAGGTCAAACGCATACTGTTGGAAAGACTGAGTTTTTGCGCGTCCACAGTGTTTTTCTCTTGTTTAGTCCCTCGCGGCACTTTGTTTGAAAGATTACTGCCGCAATAGGCGGGGTTAGCAACATTTGACCAATCACAAACAGGGACAAGTGTACTGACAGCGCAGCGTCATACTTCATTAATGAAAAGTAAACTAATATTAGACAAATATGAACTTTAAACATCCATGACTTAAACATATAATCCAGGATACAAGCCACATATGCGGCTTTCACACCAGCGCTTTTCCCTCTCTAGCTCCTAGCTAGAGCTTTTCTGGTTCAGCTCCGGTTTCCCTTTTCTGCTCCCGCTCTGTTCACACCGCCCAGAGCTGCCGCTGCTGCGTCATGACGTCACCGTTTACATGGCTGATTGTCTCCCCAACGGAGCTCACAACAACAACAACAACGGGGGACTGCGTCGGGTCGATGATTGTGTTACTTTTAATCATACGAAGCCAGATTAAATTAAATAACTACTTCTCCAACCATATACTTTTCTCCAGAGTGCCGTGGTTCATTGTTTATTAATGTGTTTCAGCGGCATTTACCGACCGCTGCAGTGCTGGCTGCTCTTCCACGGGAGTTTATTCTCCCGTTAGCTCCGGGTAGCTCACACGGCTCTAAAGTATTCACTGTCTGACTGTCACACAAGCAGCTGATACATATCCCCAGTTCCCCTTAAGTGAATGTGTGTCAGTCTGAATTGACGCTGTTTGGCATCACAACGCTGCTATGAAAGTTTCTCTGGTATAACATGGGTGATGTTAGCATAGTTACTGCTGCGTGTCCATTGGGGACTGACTTTTGCTTGCGTGTGGTGGTTTGTGCCGCTAGAGGTTGTCTATTGTCGGCAGCAGTGATTTACTGAGCGTTTGGCTGTGTGGATTGGAGCATTTGTTGTTCATTCATTAAAACATTAAAGGGATATGTCAATAAGTGGATCAAATTCAGATGTCAATGTGGCAAAAATGGATGAACAGAAGAGAGAGTCGATACTCACTGCCAAGGCTTTGGCAAATAAAATGGAAAAGCTCCAAAAGGAACGTCAATCAAAGGTTCACAAAATGAAAAGTGTGATTAAAACAATGAAGGATCTCATGCAAAGGGATGACAATGCCTCACAAATACAAACTCAACTTGAGCATTTAATTCAACTGGTTAAAGAAACCACCCTGTTACACAAGTCTGTAATTCCTCTTCTTCCTGCAGACGAACAGGAAAAACAAAATGTATGGTTTGCCAAGACACTGAAATACAATAATGGATTTATCGACGATGTCAAGCAATGGCTTTCTGAAACTGGGAAACAACCGAGCAGCACCATTGCACATGTTCCCTCAATTGAGATATCTGATGAACACCAACAAAGTATGTCTCATGTTTCAAAACACTCTGGGAGAAATGTTGAAACTTCTGAAGCACAAGATGAAATAAAACCAAGCGACAGTGTTTCAAACATACGAAGCATTGGGTCTCGCAAGCGGAGCTTTGCTGGAACCAGGTCCAGTGTTTCAACTACATCATCATGCACCAAAGCTGAGGCTGACATGGCCGCTCTCTTGGCACGACAAAGGTTATTAAAAGACAAACATGCATTGGATGAACAAGAGGAAGAGCTCAGGAAAAAGAGGGAGCAACTGGAAATGGAAGTGGAAATAGCTGCATCAAGGGCTAAAATGAATGTGCTAAGACGCTCTGGAAGGTCTCGTGCTGCAAGTGACACATCTGTGAGTCCCAATGGCATGCATTCTAATTTGGAAAGGGGACGAAAGGAAGCCATACTCAGTGCTGGAGCAAAAACATTTGTGCCTGACACAAACAGGCCTACAGGTGGTCAGTCTGACGTACAGTTTTTGCACAGAGAACATGAAGCAGAATATGGACATCTGCAACATCAAGCCACAAGAAGCTCAGAGGCCAATATACATCAAAGTTCATCACAATCACATCCACAGTTACAGCAACAAAGCAATCACCCAGCAGCACCGGCACCAAGCAGCAGTGCTCAGAATCCTTTAATTAATGTCTTGGAAAGACAAAATGAAATAACATCCATGTTGGTTCAGCAACAGTCTCTTTCTTTTCTGCCTAAAAAAGAAATTCAGATTTTTGATGGCTCTCCGTTTCAATATCAAGCATTCATAAGAGCTTTTGAGCACAGCATTGAGGAGAAGACTCACAACCCTAAAGACTGCCTGTATTTTCTCGAACAGTACACCAGGGGGCAGCCTTTGGAGCTTGTCAGAAGCTGTCAGCATATGCCCCATGACAGAGGATATGCCAAAGCAAAGGCTTTGCTACAGGAGCATTTTGGTAATGCACAGAAAATTGTTTCGGCCTACATGGAAAAGGCTCTTTCATGGCAGCCAATAAAAGTAGAAGATGTGCGAGCTCTGCAAGCTTACGGTCTCTTTCTGAGAGGATGCTGCAACGTCATGGAAGAGTTTGAATACATGTGTGAGTTGAACATGCCTAGCAATATGCTAGCCATCATAAAAAAGTTGCCCTACAAATATAGGGACAAATGGAGAACTCTGGCCTATGATTTACAGAAAAGGCAGGGCCGGAGAGCTACATTCATGGATATTGTTAATTTCATTGAAAGACAGGTGGATATTGTGAGCGATCCACTGTTTGGAGATATACAGGATACTCCACCAGCAGCCAACAAAGATGTGAGGAAAGCTAAGTTTGAACCTCGTTCAAGGATGAGGGGAAGCAGCTTTGCTACTACTATTACGACAGCGGAAAAGAAAGTGGAACCTGAAATAAGAATGAAGGAGAGAGGCTCACTAGGTACAAGTGTTTGCCTGTTTTGTGGAGGTGGACATATACTGGATCTGTGTTTCCAACTGGAAAGAAAGGCTCATAGTGAGAAAATCGCTTTCTTAAGGGAACACGGTGTGTGTTTTGGATGCTTGTGTATTGGGCACATGAGTAAAGACTGTAGGAAACGCCTCTCGTGCAAAGTATGCAGTCTAAAGCACCCAAGCATACTTCATATCTATCAGAAAGAGAAAGAAACTGACACAATGCAAGCTAAAGGAAAAGCTATAAGCAGTGCTCTTATCTCCGTTCAGTCCAGTGGTCTTACAGGGGCCGGTGAGCCAGATTGTACTCTCTCCATAGTGCCTATTCAAGTAAAGTCTAAGAAGGGACATGAAACATTCCTAACATATGCCTTCCTGGATCCTGGGAGCTCAGCATCATTCTGCACGGAGCGGCTGATGAACAAACTGAATCTCAGGGGAAGAAGAACAGACATTCTCCTTCGGACAATGGGTCAGGAGAAAATAGTTGGAAGTCACATTGTTTCTGACCTGCATGTGGCTGGATTAGACAGCAGTCATTATTGTGAGCTGCCTGACACCTACACCCAGAAAACTATGCCAGTTCATCGAGGCAACATTCCTCGGCAGAAAGACCTTCAGAGATGGCCTCACCTGAAACATGTAATGATTACTGAGATTGATTCAGATGTGGACCTGTTGATTGGGACTAATGTTCCTGAGGCACTGGAGCCATGGGAAGTTATTCGGGGTGTAGACAGGGGCCCATACGCAGTCAAAACTATGCTGGGTTGGACTGTCAATGGACCTCTCAGAGGAGACAGGAGTAGTGAAATTACTTGTGGACAGCCAGATGTCACTGTCAATAGGATATCTGTTGCAAACCTTGAAGATCTGTGGAAACAGCAGCTAAAGGCTGATTTCCCTGAATGCAGTCAGGATGAGCAGATGGGACCGTCAAGAGAGGACTGTCACTTTATGGAGTACGTCACAAAGTCTGCTAAGTTGATGGATGGCCATTACTGTATTGGCTTACCTTTAAGGAAAAGGGATGTTAGTATGCCAAACAACAGGAGAGTAGCAGAACAACGTACACTGAGCCTCAAGAGAAGGTTTGATAAAGATGCTTCATTTCATGCTGATTACACCGCTTTCATGAATGACATCCTTTCAAAGGGCTATGCAGAGAAAGTGCAAGTTGTAGATCTGGAACGCAGTGACGGCAGGGTATGGTATATACCACACCATGAAGAAAAAGATCAGGGTCGTATTTGACTGTGCAGCTACATTCCAGGGAACATCGCTGAATGCGCAGCTCCTACAGGGACCAGATCTTACCAGCACACTGGTTGGAGTCATGACAAGATTCAGAAAGGAACCTGTTGTACTCATGGCAGACATTGAAGCCATGTTTCATCAGGTTCGAGTACCAGCTGAGGATTCAGATCTGTTGAGGTTTCTCTGGTGGCCAAATGGAGATCATCATCAGAACTTAGAAGAGCACAGAATGGTTGCACATCTGTTTGGAGCTACATCGTCGCCAAGTTGTGCTAGTTTTGCCTTTAGAAAGTGTGCAGAGGACCATCGGGAGCAGTTCAGCCCCAAAGTAATCAACACTGTCCTGCACAATTTCTATGTTGATGATTGTCTAACATCTGTGGTCTCAGAGGAGGAGGCAGTGGCACTCTATCATGACCTTTGTGCCCTTTGTGCTCATGGGGGTTTTCATCTCACAAAGTGGATTAGCAACAGACGTACCGTGCTTGCTGCTATACCTTCGATAGAGAGAGCGAAAGAAGTTAAGGATCTGGACTTGGATAATGACACACTCCCTGTGGAAAGAGTATTGGGCGTACAGTGGTGTGTTGAGTCAGATGTCTTTAAGTTCAAGATCATGATCAAGGACAAACCCATAACCAGAAGAGGGATCCTTTCCATGGTCAGCTCAATCTTTGACCCATTAGGAATATTGGCACCTGTGGTCCTATCAGCCAAGATGATTCTTCAAGACTTGTGCAGAAGGGAACTTGGTTGGGATGATATTATACCAGCCTCAGCTGCACAAGAGTGGAAAAGTTGGCTGAAGGAGCTCTGCAATCTCGAAGAGTTTAAAGTTGACAGATGCCTAAAACCGGTGGATTTTGGGGAAGTGACCTCTGCTCAGCTACACCACTTTGCAGATGCAAGTGAAGACGGCTATGGAACAGTGACTTACCTGTTATTACATAACATCAAAGGACAAGTGCACTGTGTCTTCATTATGGGAAAAGCTAGAGTGGCCCCATTGAAACCAATAACCATCCCTCGAATGGAATTGACGGCTGCCGTGGTTGCAAGTCGTATGGACAAGATGTGTAGGAAGGAGCTGCAAATGCAACTTAAAGACTCCATCTTTTGGACTGATAGTACTTCCGTATTAAAGTACATCAGTAATGAGACCTTAAGGTTTCGAACCTTCGTCGCAAACAGGGTTTCAAAAATACGCAGCGTATCAAATCCATCTCAGTGGAGATATGTTCCCACCGCAAGCAATCCTGCCGACTGGGCTTCCAGGGGAGTCAAAGTGGAAACGCTCCTGAAAGATGACACATGGGTGTCTGGACCTCAGTTTCTCACTGGACCTGAAGAACAGTGGCCTGTGAACCCTGATGGCTCTGAAATGGCACCAGAAGACCCTGAGGTCAAGATAAGTCTGAATGTGAACGCTGTGCAGGTTGAAAAAGAGATGGATGCTGTAACCCGATTGATCAATCACTTCTCTTCTTGGATCCACCTGAAGAAGATGGTTGGTTGGATCCTCAGGTTGAAAAAGGAAGCAATTGAGTCTGACTCTTGCTCAGTCTGGCTTGAATAAGGAACAACAAGACCGAGAGATGAAAAAGGAAATGCAGACTATCAAGGCTCAGGTGGTCTCTGGTTTTCTTTCTATTGAGGACCTCCGAAAAGCTGAGAAAGAAATGATCTGCTTTTGCCAAAGAAAAAGGTTTCCTGAGGAAATCAAAGGCTTGCAAAAGGGAGAAGGTGTGAAAAGGACTAGTCACATCTACAAACTCAACCCAGTACTTGAAGATGGTGTTCTGAGAGTGGGAGGACGTCTCAGTAGAGCAGCAATGCCTGAAGAATCTAAACATCCTGCTATATTGGCAAAAGATCTTCACATTTCTGACATCATTCTACGGCAAGTACACCAAGATGTGGGACACGGTGGTCGTAACCACATGCTATCTAGCCTGCGACAAAGATACTGGATTCCTGGTGCTAGTGTGGCTATAAGGAAAACCCTGTCAAAATGTATTGTTTGTCGGCGACTAAATGGAGCTCCAGGAATGCAGCAAATGGCAGATTTACCTCGAGACAGAGTTTCTCCAGATGAACCTCCATTCACTCGTGTGGGAGTTGACTATTTTGGACCTTTTGAGGTCAAGCGAGGAAGGAGTACAGTTAAAAAGTATGGTGTTCTCTTCACATGCTTAACAGTAAGAGCCATCCACATCGAAGTAGCTTCATCCTTGGATACAGATTCCTTTGTTAATGCTCTTCGACGCTTCATCGCAAGACGTGGACAAGTATTGGAATTACGCTCAGATAATGGAACCAACTTCGTCGGAGCTGAGCGTGAATTGAGAGAGGCAATAGAAAGGTTGAATATTGCTAAAATCAACAACACCCTCCTTCAGAAAGGAATAAAGTGGACTTTCAATCCCCCTACTGGATCCCATCATGGAGGAGTATGGGAAAGGTTGATCAGATCTGTGAGGAAGGTTCTGAATTCCAGCCTGAAGGCACAGAACCTTGATGAAGAGTGCTTTCACACGGTTCTTTGTGAAGCCGAATCCATCATCAACAGCCGTCCCATAACAAGAGCATCCACAGATCCCAATGACTTGGAAGCACTAACCCCTAACCATCTTTTGCTGCTAAAAACCAAGCCATCTTTTCCACCTGGACTGTTTCATAAAGAGGACATATATGCTCGTCGAAGATGGAAACAAGTTCAGTACATCTCAGACTTGTTTTGGAAACGATGGATTAAGGAGTACTTGCCTCTACTCCAGGAACGACAGAAGTGGTCAAATGTCCAGCGCAACTTCATACCAGGAGATATTGTGCTCATAGTCGATGACTCAGCACCTCGCAACTCATGGCTTACAGGAAGGATTGTACAAACCATTCCAGACAGAAGAGGACTTGTACGTCAGGTGCGAGTGAAGACAAAAACTAGCTATCTGGACAGGCCTATCACAAAGATCTGCCTTCCACAGGAAGCAGAAGAGCCGTGAGGAAATTAGTGGGGTATTGAACTTCATAGACCTTGACATTGACGTTTTTTCCGACTTTTTACCAAGTGATAGTAAAGATCACTCCTTCATAGGCTAACAAACTATATATTTTTATTTATTTATTTATTTTTTTTGCCTAAAGAAGAAAAGGACACTTTAACAAAGGACGTTTTTATCCTTAAAAGTTTTTTCCTTGATTGTCTCCTACATCATATTTCAGTTGTGTAATTATTATGTTGATATAATTAGGGGCCGGAATGTAGGAGCCACATTTGAAGTAGTAGTTTCTGTGTTTATTACGGTACATGTTTTTGAGTCACTATAGGTGGTGGGCGTGTCAAAGGATTGGTGTGGTGACGTTTGCGGTTATATCCGGTTGCTTTTACCTGCATACTTTGTGATAGATGGAGGGGGAGTGAGCTGGAGAAGGACAATTTTTGTTGACCGCACGCACGCACGCACGCACGCATGCACACATGCACGCATAAAAGAATATATGGATATGGACTATTGAACTTTTGCTTGAAAAAATAAAAGGTCAAACGCATACTGTTGGAAAGACTGAGTTTTTGCGCGTCCACAGTGTTTTTCTCTTGTTTAGTCCCTCGCGGCACTTTGTTTGAAAGATTACTGCCGCAATAGGCGGGGTTAGCAACATTCGACCAATCACAAACAGGGACAAGTGTACTGACAGCGCAGCGTCATACTTCATTAATGAAAAGTAAACTAATATTAGACAAATATGAACTTTAAACATCCATGACTTAAACATATAATCCAGGATACAAGCCACATATGCGGCTTTCACACCAGCGCTTTTCCCTCTCTAGCTCCTAGCTAGAGCTTTTCTGGTTCAGCTCCGGTTTCCCTTTTCTGCTCCCGCTCTGTTCACACCGCCCAGAGCTGCCGCTGCTGCGTCATGACGTCACCGTTTACATGGCTGATTGTCTCCCCAACGGAGCTCACAACAACAACAACAACGGGGGACTGCGTCGGGTCGATGATTGTGTTACTTTTAATCATACGAAGCCAGATTAAATTAAATAACTACTTCTCCAACCATATACTTTTCTCCAGAGTGCCGTGGTTCATTGTTTATTAATGTGTTTCAGCGGCATTTACCGACCGCTGCAGTGCTGGCTGCTCTTCCACGGGAGTTTATTCTCCCGTTAGCTCCGGGTAGCTCACACGGCTCTAAAGTATTCACTGTCTGACTGTCACACAAGCAGCTGATACATATCCCCAGTTCCCCTTAAGTGAATGTGTGTCAGTCTGAATTGACGCTGTTTGGCATCACAACGCTGCTATGAAAGTTTCTCTGGTATAACATGGGTGATGTTAGCATAGCAACCGAAGCTAAACTGACTACTTGCTAAGCCGTTTTCTACAGGCACTTTTTACCGGCGTATTTTTCATTATGATTCTACTTGTGATAGTCGGACATGACAACCTGTACAGCCCTGTATTGATTCCATCCGATAGCTGCTATAATAAAAACAAAACGTCTGCCTGCTCTCCACAATGATCAATAACAGCGAACGGATGGTCAAAGTAAGGTACAAATAAACAGAATCACACGAAGCCTGGTTAGTGTTGCCTGACTTTATAAAGTGTTTTTTTTTTTATAAGTGTGTGGTTGCCTTCTAGTCACTTTGCTCAGCGCTACTGCTTGTAGGCAGGCATGACGAGACTATTCAGTCGACCCATGGCATGTTCAGGGGAGGTGGGTTTAGTTTCCTGCATGCCTCGACGTAAGAGAGACGTAAGCGACGCCGCCTCTTAGCTCCGAAGCTCTTGCCTCTAGACCGACAATTTTTTGGAGCTGGAAGTGAACCGCATTCCGGAGCTAAGAGGCGGCGCCTCTGCGGTGTGAACAGGAAAAACCGGTACTTTTCAGGCTCCAGCTCCGAGCCGGAGCTGGAAACGCGTTGGTGTGAAAGGGGCATATCGTGTCACCTGCAAGGTGAATACAGAACAACTGGTTAAAAAATAAATAAACTACCGAGTGTTTGAAAGCGTACAACAGTTTTATGATATCACTGCCCCATCTAAGACACGAGTGGATCTGACTGTAATTACATTTGAGTTGAATGTTTCGTCAACTTAATGTGTTGCTTAAAATAACACTTCTGCATATAGTATGTGACAATGTAAGTGATGCACGGCCAGATACGGCTCGAGAAGCTGACTCAGATAAGGAAATATATGATATATTATGATATTATATGATCGATGATCTGATTGATGATGTGATATGAATGATAAGTGCGACACGTTGGCGTCTTCTCTGCATACGGCAGTTTAAACTATTTCCTTTATCCTGTAATATAACTTGATAGATTTAAACTCTGCACACTGAGCTCTGATTGGTCAGCAGGCGGTGCTTTCACTGAGTTGATCTCTTTTCTATAGACGCTGGAGGCGGGCAGCGTCAGGTAAAAAACGTTATTTAGCCTTCCCAAACCTGAGCCTCATGCGCCATGACAAGTGCAAACCACAGACTGCCTGTGTCATGGCGAATACAGTCGCTGGTTTATTTATGTCTGTATAGGCCGTTGTTGTGAGTATCAGAGCATATACTGCGTTAGCTTAGCCAATCTCCATTCAGAAAACACGCATTTTAAAAGGTTTTTCGCCTGCCGTCTTGTCTGCAGACTTGTCAAAGCATTAATTCATGGTTTACACTAACCGGTATCAGTATGTTGTTACTTCGGCATCATTTTTGAAACGTGTATTACAATGAAATCACGGTAAAATATGTTAATTTTGTTGTAGTTGCCAGCGATTCTCTCACTAGTTTAGCATACTCAGCCCGTTTGTTGGCCCGGAAAGAACCTCGATTTTGGAGAGCCAGAAAACTGAAAAAGTACCCGCTAGCCAGAACTACGCCTAGTGGAAACGCAACCAAAAACGGGCCGGGTACGGCACGCTTAAACTGCGCTCCGTGCTGTAGTGGAAATGCGCCATTAGTGACGTCAATAGGCCCCGGAAGAAGAAAATGGAAAAAGACAAATCTACAACGAGGCGTTCTGGGGCAGTATAGGCACGTCTTTTCTGTGTTAGAGTTTTACTCGCTACAGAGTATACTTTGAGGGTTTGTGACTTTGCAGACCGTTTACATGCAGAAAAAGCTACATCACACACAAGGGGACGGGTAATAACCAAAAAAGCATATGATGGGATCTTTAAGAAAATGGCATTTAAAAACAGTCGTTAAAAAGCAAAGATAATAAAATGAACTTTAAAAGAAAAAATACATGAATAAAAGTTACAGTGCAGTTTAAGATGTGAATAGTTAAATTAAAAGCAGCGGCAAAAAGAAAAATCTTCAGCCTGGATTTTAAAAGTAGTCAGAGTTGCAGCGGACCGGCAGGTTTCTGGGAGTTTGTTCTAGATATTTGGATCATAATAACTGAACTTCTCCAGGTTTAGTTCTGACTCTGGGGACAGAAAGCTGACCAGTCCCTGAAGACCTGAGAGTTCTGGATGGTTCATAATTTAGCAGTAGGTCAGACATGTATTTTGGGCCTAAACCTGTCACAGTCTGCTTTCTCACTCACCTATTTTCTGCATT